GAGATGATAACTAGAAAGACGTAACTGAATAAATCCCACTGGGCAGCGCTGTGATTTGGCTGAAGGTCCACTGTGTGAACCAAAGGGGGATGATCAGTGCAGGGTCCGGAAAAGGAGCTGGGCGTGTTCGTCAGCACTGACCCAGCCATGCTAGGAAAGAACAGCTGTACATGCTGAGAATACACACTCTTCCAGGTTCAAGTGCCTTGAGCCAATTCCCTACATACCACCCACAAGGAGTAGGGTGGACCTGGCATTGTGTGTTTGGAATGGCAAAGGTCACCTTGTGTGTGTGCGTGTATATGTCTTAAAAATTCAAAAGATGTCATTTAAGTCTTATAAGACCTAAAAATATTCAACTAATCACCCTAAAATTTAACCAGAAGGAATTTCCAATGAGGCTGAGTTACTGAGTCACTATACTTAGTTTTTATTCGTTATCACCAAGCGATTCATTATCACTTTCGTGAGCCTGAAAGTGCTAACTTGGTCTCAAAGGTCACTTCTAGAGTGTCCCTGTGTGCCTCGCTGACCACACAGTCCTAGAGAGGAATGTATTTTAAAAACCCCCCCAGGATGGGCTGCCAGGCCCCTTCCACGAAAATTTCCTTGGGCAAATTTAAAAACATGTGTTCATTGCTTTTCTTATAGCTGTGGGGGCGTAGCTACAGGGTGCTCTGATCAGCAGCTGAGTTTGAGGGGAACATCTTGGAGGAGGACACCAGATCTTTTACCTGGAAATTGGACACGCCATTGATTAAATGTACTAGATTTTAATGGAGTACCTGCTCTGTAGGCAGCATCTAACTACTGGACCTGCTGCCTACTTCATGCATATTCATTGTGTATGACTATGCAGCACCTGAAATGGTCCATTAAACCGTAGGAATCATGCGTTCAGTAACACGAGGCGTAAAGTGAAAAAGGTGATATACTTTTAAGGTTTCCCTTCTGGTATTGCAGTTGACATTAGTTGGAGAAAGAATCTTTTCTCTTCTTATTTTGTTTGTTTGATATTCTCTTGCTCTGAAGCCCTAACGATGTAGACATAGCGTGGGAGGTCTGTTCTTTTAGACATTTCAACCACCTCTACACTCCCAATTGCCTGAACAAGTGGAGTACAGGATTAATAGCAATCTGCTCACTGTCCAGGGTGGCAGGGTAGGCTTATTATTTCACCTGCCAGGTTCACACGTCATTGCCAACACACCGTGTCTCTCCTACAACCCCGTCCGTCACTATGCTTTGTTGTCGAGACTTTTCATGCAGCTGGAACTGTCAGGCCAAGGGCCAGCATTCTTGGAAACTTGAAGTTCCATCAGTTTTATCTTTCAAAGCTGTTTTGGGACAAGCTCTCTAAGAGACTAGAATGGGGAAGACTAAGGGGATTCTAGAGACTCCTTATTTTGTAAATTGCATTACTTTTTGATGAGAAGATTTGAAGAAAGCAAACAATAAAAGCAGGAAGAAAACAGCCTGCAGGAGAAATAAAGAGCGGAGCAGAGCAGAAAGAGGTGACAGGGAGGAAGATGAAATTGCTGGTAAATTCTCAAATTTCAAACAGGAGTGGCAAGGAATATACATTCATGCGACTTCGGAAAATACTATTTGATCTTATTTAATTGACTTACCTTTCAAGCATTGGTTGCTCATATGCCCAGGGATGTCCCCATGCATAGCATAGCTTTGGGGAACATGTTTGAGATTCATTTGGGCTGAGTTTGAGCAAAAACAAATTCAAGCTATTCTCAGTTTTTTCTTTTTTCCTGAGGGCCACCGGGGCCAGACCTGCTTTAAGAGATTTCTCCTTATATCTAGTCATTAAAAACCCTCAATTCATACATTCACTAAAAGCATTTACGCCAGTTCAGACTTGAAAATCTGCCCCACAAGGCATCATGCCAGAAGTTGATTTTTGTTTCTTCAGAAGGAGGAGGAAACATTACCGTGCCTGAGAGAAACAGTGGCATCGGACAAGAGGGGACACTCTTTCCCAAGAATATATGGCTTTATTGGGGTCAAATGAAGTTTTGCTCAGTTCTTTAGTCACATGGAAAGTGAATGTGTCTAGTCCACCTTCCAGAAGAGGGGAACGGGAGTACAGAGCGGAATGGCAGGGTCCCCTCCCTGTTTGGAAAGACTGAGAAGAGGCCAGACAGAGCTGCATTCTCCAGCCCCATGTGGTTCCAGACCCCTGAACCTTTTGCTACCGGCAGACTTAAAACTGCCCAGCTCACAGCCATGGAAAAAGCAGGCTTAATGTTTTAATCTTGTCCAGAGGCTCAATGAATTAGAGCTTCAGCCAGAGCAGATCCAATTTCCTTCCTACACTTGATAACTTTGTTTGATAAAATGAGCTCAGTGACATTTCAAGGGTTAATTATAAGCCTTTAGCGATCCTGGATGGGTATTTATTTTTAAAAAATAGTTACGCAATTTAGCTTTATATGGTACGTGTGTGTGTGTGTGTGTGTGTGTGTGTGTGTGTGTGTGTGTGTTTGTGGAGCTCAAAGCATTTAACATTTTCTCTCTAAACTTACGTCTCCAAAAGTACATGGAAGGTGAGATTTATTAGGCTATGGTGTCTACTCACTTTAAGGTTGAACAGCAGGAGGCAGATCACTGGCTCACCCCGAGGCCAGGCAGTGGGAGCACAAAACTACAACTCCTGTTTTCTGAGTCCCCTTTTCAGGACCCACTGAAACCCACTGCCTCTTCCTTTCAAAACCAGAGTGGGAATGCAGAAGGGTCAAATACCCCTCTACTGAAGTACCTAAAGGGAAGACTCTGCTTTTTGCCATAGTTAACCCCGAGAGGGCGGCAGGAGGCAGCAGGCCTCCCTTTCAATGTTCCCGGGGCCTGGAGATTTGTCTTTAAGAAATGTCACCAGCCCAGATGCCTCAGCATCTCAGGACTCTAGAACCCAGCCCTCCTTTAGAAGCTGCTGAGGGAAGAGTTTGAAACTGGCAGAAGGCCTTGGACGTGAGAGGCAAATGGAAGGGCGGGGGGAAGGGCGGGGGAAGGCCGGGGAGGGTGGTAGAATGCTGCTCTGAAAGAATGTGTGTCATTCTGTTCCTATAGCCCAAGAGGACTTTTGGGCTCCATCGTCCAGCCCTCCTAGAGGGCTAGGCTGCTGAAAGATCACGGGGATGCAACCCATTGCTGGGAGTGGCTCCTCTCAAACAGGCATTTTTATTATGAAACAAGTGATGGGGGAGGGAGTGATGAAAGATAAGAGAAACTGAAGCAATCCTCTGTCACATCACCACTTTTTAATGAAAAATCGACACTGTCTCATCCTTACAGGGACAGAATTCAGTTCTTTGGACTTGGGAAGATTTGGCATCAAATCAGCGTGCTTGCATGTGCACACATGCACACATGTAAATGTGTTTACATGTATGCATGTGCATGTGCCTGTGGTGTTTTTCTTATCATCTATTTCAGAAAAATATTCTCTCCTTTCCATTAAATTTTTTCCTAAAAACCAATGTTGTATAGGTTCATTGCAGAAGATTTGGAAAATGTGGAAATGTTACACAGAAGAAGTGAAACTTCACCTATAATTTTACCACCTAATTTTATCAATATTTTGTGAATAGCCACCAGTCTGTTTTCTATTTTTTTTAATGGAATATAAGTTCCAAGAACATGCACACAGGGATCTTGCTCACTCTGTGGCCCAATACTCTGACAGTGCCTACTGTGTTATGAGCTGTAGATGTTGGTTGAATAAATGAATGGATGAATGAACGAATAACCACATACGAATAAGTTGAATTGAAATAGGTTGTCGTGATGTAGCAGAGAATAATAGAAATTGTTGTTTGGATGTGACAAGGTTGGAACGAAGCTGCCACTGCTACTGTGTCTCCATTGATCAGTCACTTGAGCTCCCTGGGCCTCAATTTCTCCACTGATAAAACAATTGTTATAGTTAACATTTATTGAGTGCTTACTATGTGCAAAGCATTGTTATAAGCTCTGGGTGCTTCTCTGCACAACTCTATGAGATAGCTGCCTTCTATACCCATTTTATGCACAAGAAAACTGAGGCCTGGAGAAGTTGATTTTGGTTTGCACACAGCCAGTCACACAGATAATAAAGGGGAGAGCTGGGCTTGAACCCAGGTATCTGGGCCTCCTCTCCAGTGGAATGCCTGGCTGTGGGGTCAGATGACTCCTCCGGCTCCTCCCGGCTCTAGTCCTGAGTGAAAGAGGAGGGGTGCAGGGAAGCCTTGATGATTATGCTCTGGGCCAAGCACACGAAAGTCGATTGCGGAGCAAGGTCCACAGGATTAGTGCATGGAGATCAGAGAGCAAAGTTATCGGCCAGCGGACTTCCTCCCAAATGTGTAAAAGCCACATGGGCACTCACAGGGCAGAATGATGATAAATCAGTCTGCTGTCACCAGAGCTCCTTCACTCAGAGGCAGGGTGACCTGGACTTTTGGTGTGTCCCCTTCCACTTCCAGGGCCCCACCTTACAGGACAGTGCACCAGGGTCAGACAGGGAAGTAAATAAGTAAATCTGATCATTCTTGATCGTGAGCAGCAGCTGATGCATTTGATGGGAGAGGAAGAATGGGACTCTCCTTTGATGATTAAATAGAATTTCCAGGGGCAGGACACTGCCCCTCTTCCTCCCCCTCCCCAGATGAAACTATGAGCAGATAACTTGTGCTCTGCCTTATCCCCTTGGTAACCGAGACTCCTTTTTCGTAAGGAGGAATGGGCTTCGGTAAACAGATCTATTTGTGTGACTTCTATTACTCATTTGAAGCCATGTCAGTCTTTTTTCCACTGTGGTCTGTGTGTCTGAGTCAGAGGGAGCCTAAACAGGCCTCTGAATTGATGGCTCACTCCCAGCCTCTCTTGACTGACTGCCAGCCTAAGCAGGGCGTAGCTTACCAGCAAATCTTTTTTTTTTTTTTTTTAAAGCCAGACTGATTCATAGAAACTCCTTTAAAACAGAGTGAAAAGAAACCGCCCATCACACACCCCAGCACACCAGCGCAGGAAACTTATAACCTCGGGAGGCAGGTCCCTCCCTTCACTGTGGTCACAAAGCTCCAGAAGAGCAGAAGAGCCACCCGCAGCCGCCAGCTCCTGCCACTCGAGGTGCCTCTGTCGCCGGATCCTCAGGTAGGACAGCTCCCAACCCTGTGAGGAAACAGGATTCTTTCCTTTCCACTGCTCTCCTTCTTCTGACTTCATCTATGTCCTGCTTTTTCTTTCCCCCTTTGTGATTTTTCTGTGATTCCTTGAAATGAATCCTTGAAACTTTTGGCTGAAAGTAGATACTGAGACAACTTTTTCCTTAAGGTTCAGAAAAATGTATTGGGACGGTGGGATGTGGAGAGGGTCAGGGAATTCAGTGGGGCTGGGCTGTAATTACGTCCTGCAGTACCTGGGTTCTCGCTCTGAAGATGTGAAGGGAGCAGGGACTTTGGAACACACCTGGACAGGACCGTCTTTATGGAGGAAACGCTGCGCACCTTTGAAATGACAAGCCGCGCTGGCCACATGTTTTCCATTCCTCCATTTTGATTCAAATTGCTTCGGGACTTGAATTGTGATTCTGCTTGTTGGTTGTTTGCGGGTCTTTCTGGGGTGGCGGTGGGTAGAGAGCTGCTTTTCAGATTGTTTTTGCTGTTGCTTTTACTGCTGCCTTTTTGCTTGTTCATTCACTTCTGTTTGAATTTAAGTGGTTTTTCCTCCCCACAGGGTGGGACAAGAGAGGGGTTTTGTTTAAAGAAAACCGTTAGAGCAAGAAGAGGAGGGAGGGAGAGACAGAGCGAGACAGAGAGAGAGAGGGAGAGGGAGGGGGAGAGAGAGAGAAGAGGGGAGCAACTGGTGTTTCAAATAAAACGCGGGAGGGGCTGACTTGATGAAACTAGGAGCCTGATGCAGATCCCAGATCTTCTCTCCTTGGCCAGATGCGCGAGTTGGGAGAGGCGAGAGGGAAGCTGGATTTGGGGGGGAGGGTGGGGCAGGGCGACGTCATCTGTTCCTGTACCACAACTGTGGCATGGCTTTGTGCTTCCACCCCAGAAATAGCTGAATTTTAGTGCTGAGTGGAAAGTTGGTATATCAGAAGTGATCAAAAAACATTTTTTTTTAGATGGATGTGGACTTTTTCTGCAGGGAAGCCAGTGATTGTTTGGGCACATTTGTCTTCTCACTCTTTTCCAAATTGTGATTGTCAGATGCACAATTTGACTGTGCCGATCACGAAGTGAATCTGGAGAAAGGAAGGAGGGTGATTTGTGTTTTCTGCTTTTTTTTTTTTTTTTTTTGGTTAGCATTTTGGTTAGGTGTGGCCCGTTTCAGCATAGATACTGGTGGATTTACCACCCCCACCCCCCAACCCAGCATAAACAAGATGAGGAAAATGACAGGATTCAGCTTGTCTGATGAAATTAGACTTTTCCTTTAGAAATGCAGTCTGTTGGAAGGGAAGATTGAAGTGTAATCAGCCTGTGTACATTGTACAGGCAACGCTCCTAGTAAAACTGCCTGCAGGGGGATGACTAAGTAAATTCAAGGGCAACTTTTCAAGATGCAGAGAACTCTTACATTTGCTTAAAAGGTTTATTATTTCCAGATTACCTTGGATGTGGACTAGGGAAGCCATTATTAAGTTGATAGTAATGGTATTCTATGAAATCAGTACAAATCTTTTAGTTCTATGCAGGTTAAAACTAATGAGCTAACTTAACCAGTCAGCAAATAGAAAATACTGAAAATTCTGGGGGTGTAAACTGTCATGGATTGCACTATTTGCGCAGCGTTTCGCATTATACTGTAGTTTTATACATGAAAAAGTAGGCTGTGTGCTGTTTCCTGGGCTTTGAGGGCAACTGAAAAAAATGCTACTCTGGTTCCCGCCTTCCCCTCTTCCTCCCAGAAGTGGTGAGAGAGCCCGTAGCTGCAGCAGCGTTTCTGGAATGCAGCTGGAAGTCATCGACAAGGCTGAACTGCGAGGGTTATGTTCCCCTCCCCTGCTGCCTCCCACCCGCGCAGGAGGATCGGATTCCACCCCAGACTCTGAAGAACGGGTGGGGGCGGGGGCTGTCTGGAGGGCGGCTGGACGTCCGGTCTGGCGGCTGGTGGGAGGACCCCCCAGACTGCCATGGTTTGAGGGGACTAGACGGTGCTGGGAGCTGTCCGAAGGCCATCAAGGACCAACCCAGAACAGATCACATCCCAGAACAGACACTGGCTACCTCCCAAGAGTACAGGGCAGACCTCTGAGAAAGGGAAGACATCCTTCCACAGACCACTGAAAAGACTTACTGTGGCATTCTCAACTCTTCCCGCTTCCGCCCTGAGACCAGAGCAGGGGACCTTGTGGTTACCAGGGGCAACATCTGGACTTGGGGATGGGGGCAGTTATTACTGAATGGGCTTCACCAAGACCATCCTGGGGATGCAGACCCTCTTGGCCTGGTCTGGGTGGCTCCGTGGGTTTTGTCTGGTTCATGCTGGACCCACCGAGATCAATGGTTCCTGCATGAAAAAAGCAAAATGGCTTTTTTAAAAAGAGGCTTCTCAGAGGCGGATGGGGAACATGTTTGAAAAGTGGCCACAGAGAAAGGCACAAGACAAATTTAGTTATATTCCACTCTTAATTTTGTTCATTGAATTCTTGGTCTGGGAAGAACCTTGAAGGTCAAGTCTATTACTCTCCTACCAAATGCAGAAATCGTACTTTTACACCACCCCGGACAGATGGCCATTTGACATTTCTTTAAAACTTCGGGGAATTTTTGGGGATGGAGCTCACTGCCTCAGAGTGCACCCCATGCTCATGCCCCTTCACCGGACAGCTCTGGTTATTGGAGTCTCTTAAATCTGGCAAATTGGTTTCTTTACAACTTCCATTCTTTATTCTAGTTCTGTGGTCCTGTAGTGACCCAGAAAATATCTATTCCATTTTTGTTGTTGCTGCTCCACCCAACGCTCCTTATGCCCTAAATCTTTAACCCTTACTGAATACTTACTGGGTAAAACTTGGTTAGTATTAATATTACGGCCTGACACTCAGCAAGAGGGGCAGGAAACATTTTGAAGCTTTGAAACTGTGCATGTAGTAAACTGTGGCCATATGATTTGATTCTGAGATATTTCCTTCTCTGCACATGAATATGGTTCCTTCTTTAAGTTACTACATGTATATAAAAAAGCTCAGAGACATTCCAGACTCTCAGATATGCATACTTGGGGGACACACCCAATTGCTACTTATAAGGTCACGGTTAAATCAATTTAATACTAGACACAGAGGCTTCTAACTTGGCCCTGTGGGGTTGTCTCTTACCTTGGTCCATAGTTCATGTAGCCCATGCCTTTACACTGTAACCACCTGTCATGGTAACTCTGGGAACAGGCTGCCAATCCAGTGTAAGCTCGGTGTCACTGCTGGCAGGCAGTCTGGATGTCAGTCCCTTAAAGAGAGTTCATCGTCCCAGCCAGGGCAGAGCCAGAATTTTCTGACCATAAACTTCCCATTTCCAACCCTCTTCCCAGTTCTGCCCAGATGACTCCGGAGTTTATTCAGTAATGAAGGGGGCTCCAATGTGGTTCCGATTAGTAGTTTACTTGACTTTCCCACACTCTCCCCAAACACACGTCTCACGATCTACTCTGTGACACTTCAGTCCCTGTGCTGTGACTGGGTAAATCGTTTCTCTTAATTTCATTGTAAGGTCCACTGATGTGACACATAAAGATAAAGCTATAAACACTTATGGAGATTGCTGTTTTCTGTTTTCTAAAACAGATTTTATTTTTAGAGAGAGGGGGAGGGAGAGAGGAAGAGAGGGAGAAAAATATTGATGTGAGAGAGACACGTTAATCAGTTGCCTCTCGTGCATGCCCTGACCCGGGACCAAACCTGTAGCCCAGGCATGTGCCCTGACTGGGAATCGAAGCAGGGACTTTTTGCTTTGCGGCATGATGCCCAACCAACGGAGCCACACCGATCAGGGCTTCTCTTTTGTTTTAACAAAGTATTTGGGTTAACGTTTCCTTCCCTGTTGTGGAAAAGGCGTTTTCCTAGAACTAAAATGGACTCCTCTGCTCCTGGTGCTGGCAGCCTTCTGTGGATCTGGCAGTCTCTGTATTTTCTGAGCCTATTTCATAAAATCTCTCTTCCAAGGGCATAAGTGAAATTGAGAGCCCTTTAAGCACAGGCTGACCTGGTGGCAGAAATCCTGGAGTAGATGCAAGGTGGCTTAACAGGAAGACGAGGGGCTGGGGTCTTGTCCCGATGCTGCCGTGTGACCATGATTAGGTCATCTGTCTTCTCAGTTGAGGAGACTGAACTTGGTGGTATCCACTGCCCCTTGTGGCTCTGAAACTCTATTGTTCTAAGGTCCTAACATTCCTGTTTTGAGAAATCCTGGACTCATTTTAGTAGCGAGTTCAATCCATAAAAATAGGAAAGTGGAATGAGGCAACACGTTGCATTGAAACAGGTGTTTGAAGGACTGAGGACCCAGGCGGTTTCCTCTGCTGCGTCAGCTTGGAGATTCCTTAGGTGTGGTGTGGGCGGCCTTTATCATCCAATAGCAATGAGCACTCACCCAGCTTGGGGATGAAAAGGAAGAGGTTGATTAATGAAACAAAAAGGAGCCAGCTCAGATGAGGAGGGGCAGGCTAGCTAAGCCTGCTAAGACTGAGAACAGACAGGGACCAAATGAGGCTCAGGGAGAAACTGAGCAGGTCCTGGGAAAGGAGCTCCACCCTCTTCTCGGGGAGGGAGACCCTGCAGCATGAGGGTGTGGCTGCATAGGTGTGTATGGGAACCATTGAGGAACAAATTGAGAGGAGGAAAGGGAAGGTGCAAGCAGGAGATGGCGGGGAAGGAGTGAGTGGGACTGCCTGTGGTTCTCCGGGGCCCCTGTGTTAGGGCAAAGCAAAGGTGCAAACACAAAGGCCTGGGAAAGGAAGAAAAATCGAGTGGTGAGAGGAAGACCAAGGTGCTGAAAGAGCAAGATAGAAGCATGAGGATGTTTCCACTCCTAAGTCTCTCCCGTCTTGTTCTGGGACCACCTGCCCTCAGTGTTTCAGGATCTTCCTTGGGGTCAAATACTCTGTTCTTTGTGCCGGTGAAGAATCTTCTGTTGCTCAGGCACAAA